GTGTGTGTGTATGTGTGTGTGTGCATTCGCTCAGGTAACCGCTCGTTTTTCGAGCTCGAAATGCGCCGTGTATGAACGTATGGGTTAGTGTGAGAAATGCATCCCTGCTTCGTGCTTTTCCCTGTGTTTTTTTTTTAACACCTGCACGCTTTGTACGTCTATAACGACGCGCTTTGTTCCTTGCTGTCCATGTACCTATTATCTTTTCGCGGGAATACGCCGTGACCTGTACGCGGTTACGAGCGACAGGCGGCGAATAGAAGGTGATCAGAATCGATAACACGGTTTCAACACGTCGATATAAATTCAACAAAGTAACAGTTTCGTTTTGAACTGCTCGCACTGACCGTCTTGCGACGTTGCCGCTGTTTCATCAGTTTCCGTTTGCGAAATAGTATCGGCGACTCTGTGTCGATAAAACAAAGAAAAGTAGGCGCGCAAAAAAACCTGCGAGTTCCCGTCGTAACGCGACGTAAATCTTTTTTTCAACGTGTCCCGGTCAGAACGACTGTATTCGTTGGCGCTGCTATAGAGCTTGTATCGAAAACAAATGCAACAACCGGCCTCGACTCCGTAGGACCGCTTCCCGCGTAGGTCATGTCACATGGAGCGAGCATGACGTGTTCGGTCGCTGTGTTACTGCCTGTCGCTAGAAAATGATGGCGCCGTGTGTGTGTCCGTGCGTGCGTGCGTGCGTGTGTGCCGTGCGTGTGTGTGTGCGTGCGGTGCGTGCGTGCGTGCGGCGTGTGTGTCCGTGTCGTGTGTGTGGCTGCGTGTGTGTGTGTGTCTGTACGTGCGTGTGTCAATGTGTGTGTGTGTGTGTCGTGTCCGTGGGTGCGTGTGTGCGTGCGCGCGTTGTGTGTGTGTGTCCGTGCGTGTGTGTGAGTGTTGTCCGTGTGTGTGTGTGTGTGTGTGTGTGTGTGTGTGTGTGTGTGTGTGTGTGTGTGTGTGTGTGTGTGTGTCCGTACGTGCGTGTGTCAATGTGTGTGTGTGTGTGTGTGTGTGTGTGTGTGTGTGTGTGTGTGTGTGTGTGTGTGTGTGTGTCAGTGTGTGTGTATGTGTGTGTTCGTGCGTGCGTGGTGAGTGTGTGTGATGTGGTGTGTCGTGTGTGGAGTTTTTGTTGTGTGTGTGTGGTGATGGTGGTGTGGTAGTGTGTGTGTGATGTGGTGTGTGTGTGTAGTGGTGTGGTGTGTGTTGTGTGCGCTGCGCGCGCGCGCGCCGTGTGTGGTGTGTGCATGTGTGTGTGAGTCTGTGTGTGCGTGGTGTGTCGTGTGTGTGTGTTGTGTGTGTGTCCGTGCGTGCGTGCGTGCGTGTGTGAGTGTAGGGGAGGGGAAGCGGACGTAAAGATCAATCTCGAAGACTATAAATTGCGCATACCCGTAGTAATGTCACGGAATCTCTCGGCGCTATAGATTACATACGGCAGTAAAAAGCTTTTCTCTCGAGCATTTTGTGTGTGTGTGTGTGTGTGGGCGCGAAACGACTGTCGTGCGCGTGTGAGTGGTGAGGTCTTTGTGGCGTGCGTGCGTGCTGTAGTGTGTGCCGTGCGTGCGTGCGTGTGTGTGCGTGCCGTTCGCCGCAGCGCGGCGTGTGTGTTTCAATCTAAAATATGTACACTACACCATGCACGCAACCACAGCAAGGGCGTACGCACGCACGCGCACACACGGCGGTAGCAATACGACTTGTAAAAGAGAAATAACTATCAAAATATTCTTAAGCATTGAGATGCGTAAACCAGGCGATGTAAGGTTTAAAGAAACGACGATCATCCTCCACTGAATTGTGCCAGGTTCAGTTTGCGTGTTTACACCTGAAATAATCATATTATGCTGCTGTACAAGTTCACGGAATAATCACTTCCCGATTACGAAGACTGTCAGTTTGCAATATAATCCAATTTCGTTGACAGGATTGCCCCCAGCACCGCGTCATTAACAAGAACTTACGTGCCGCC